AAACCTTTATAAACCTTCTTCATACTTCATCCTGACCGTTTCGGGCTGGGTTGTTTTATAGTACTGAAACAGAACCAGCAATATAATTTGGTTTCGAGGTTACATCTTATTTGTCTGTTATTTTTATTGCAAAATATTTTCAGAGTGGTTGCACAAATCTACCCTAGAGCAAGATGGTTTCTCTGTTCTGACAGGTCGTGGGAGGAACACATTAAACAAACATGCTTTAGATTTCTCAGTCGTGGGATTTTTTTTTTTTACATTTAAGCGAGAATTATATTTTGCACATCAGGTCTCCTTTTTTGTCTTTGTCATGTGAATCTTAGTAAATTGAAACAACTTAATTATTTCAGTGAATGAATTATTAGTTGAAAATCATGTTGATTTATGAAAGATAGTGATGAATTTTAATAATTTAAACATTAAATGTGATTGTTCAGAGCTCATGAAAACACAAACTTCAGTTTCTCAGAGCGTTTATTTAATGCTTGGTAAAAGACAAGAGTATAGTCCTTCCTCAGGTTAGTGTAGATTACATGCTTTTGGTTAGCAGTTGTAGCACATCTGTATGTGGTGGCTCTTAAATGATAACTTGGGCTACTTTCAATTTCCTCCATATTCGTAAATTGATTGTGCTTCACAATGTTTTTTTTTCCAATAACTATCCGTTATTATGCAGGACAGTGAACAAATGCAATATTTGCATTTTCAAAGTTTTATTTTTGTTTTGTTTTTTATTCGCCGAGATAAACAATGAAGAAAATTTAAAGAAATATATCCATGAATTTTACTTTTTGTTTTAATTTCTGAAGTAAGTCAGCTTTCTAATGATTTTCTAATATTAAAAGTTGTGTCTGTTTTTTGGGGTTGTATGGTGTAGGGCTAATGAGAACAAAGTGCTCTGTAAGGCTTCTGATTATTTAAAATTTTATCTCCTTTGCGCAGATATAAAAGATGCTGTTCTTGTCCATCCTCGGGCTGGTGGCCGTTTGGTACCTCTACCGTTGGTACAAAGAAAGCGAAAGAGTTTCCGACAAAGGGAATAAGTATGTGTACATCACCGGCTGTGACTCCGGGTTCGGGAACACCCTGGCCAAATATCTGGACAAGCTTGGCTTCCGCGTGATCGCAGGCTGCTACACGGAGAATGGGGAGATCGCGCTGAAGAAGGTTTCCTCCGAAAGACTGATGACGTTTTCCCTGGACGTCACAAAGTCGGACAGTGTCAAAAAAGTGGCAGATTTCATCAAGACTCATGTTGGAGAGAAGGGTGAGTTGTATTTGTTTTGTTCTCAGTTATTTCACTAAGCAATAACTAATCAGTTGGGATGATGTTAGATTGAAGCAAAGCTGGTCCGGGGATGTTGGTGTTCCCTGATGGGGGGCGGTTTATCAGTCCCATCCCAGGTTTCATGAGCTCCTTATCTGGTTTCAGGTCTTTGGGCTGTTGTAAACAATGCTGGAGTTGCAACACCATCTGGTCCGACTGACTGGCTGACTATCGATGATTACAAATCCATGCTGGCCGTCAATCTTATGGGAGTAATTGACGTCACTCTGAGCGTTCTCCCTCTCATCAAGAAGGCCAGGGGCAGAGTGGTAAACGTAGCCAGTGTGTTTGGCCGAATCAGCCCATTCGGGGGTCCTTACTGTGTCTCCAAATATGGAGTGGAGTCCTTTAATGACAGCCTGAGGTAAGAATATTTTCCTTTCTTTATTGTTATCCACTGATAGTATGCTAAACATCCTCTTTAAAGTTTTTTTTTTATGTGTTTTAGGTTAAACATGGCGCCGTTTGGAGTCAAAGTTCTGTGCATTGAGCCAGGCTTCTTCAAAACTAGCGTGACTGACACAGTGATGCTGCAGAACCACCTGAGGAAACTCTGGGATAGATTATCTCAGGATATGAAGGATGACTATGGGCAAGCTTTCTTGGAGACCAGTGAGTTTTTACTTCTTCTTTATTAATGCTTATTGTTTGACACAGTATGCGAACATCCATTCATCCATTTTGTGACACTCAAGCTGTCTACGGGCGAGAGGCGGGGTACAAGCTGGACAGGTCGCCAGTCCCATCGCAGCAGTATGCAAATAGATAGTAGGGGTGTAAATCACATCCATCATGGCGATTCCATTCAGTATCGATTTCCTGAACCAACGATTCGATTATTTTTGATACTCAAGAATACACCACGATTTGATTCAATTAATTGGTGCTTTTTTTTTTTACACCTTACAGGCTAGACAATGTTTCAAATTTTAAGTAAATCAATGAAAGATGTAATATCGTTATGCATTTTTTTTTTAGAAACAAAAGCAAATAACAGAAGTATAAAAGTTGCATCAAAAAATACTGAACAAAATCAGTACAATGAGTGCAATTCAATACCTCTGCTCCAGACGTCCCCGCCCCCTCCACCTCTCCCAAATTGTAGCTCACCACAAACAGTGCCGCAGACAGGAGGTCGGCTTGTTTTGTTTTTATGACCGAAATTGCGGAAAACAACTCGTGAAGTTTGACCCGCTAGAAGAGCCAGGTGCGCGAGAACGCTGGGGCCCTTTTTCCACCTGGATCTCCGCTATTTTTGGCCCTCATGTCCCTCCGTCGTCGGACTAAACTCGCCCCCACTTCCTCACCGCCTCGGCCGTATCGAGACCCACAGCGTGTAGCACAGACCACGCTTCAATATTGAGCATAAATCAAAAATGTCTGTGTCAAGCTTACTGCAACACACTGCTGTAAGAGTATAACCAGGAAGCGCGGTAGGAGGGCAAAATAGGTTTAGCGCCACCGCAGCACGGGAGGGAGAATTACGTCCAGGAGCAAATGGATAAAAATAGACCGGAGGAAAAAAAAACATGAATCGATACTCTTGGGGACGTGTCGATGCATCGGATCGTCGGCTGTTGGATCGATGCATCGATACAAAACGATTATTATTTACACCCCTAATAGATAAGGCCAAATATATATCTGTGCTGCCACCAGCGTTTGGTTAAAATGTCCTTTAAGAAGATAGCCCAGAGTCGATACTTTATTCATGAGCCAGTTTTGATGTTTGAGATCATTTCCATGTTGAATTTGTATCCAATGATCTTAAAATAGTTGTGGAGGAAATGAAGTGAAGAATTTGGAGTTCTTCTCTTCCTCCTCCATTATTTCCTCCACTATAAATCCATCAGTACTGCTTGGCAGGTTTTCTGGTAGCTCACCTGCCCAGTACCATGATCCATGATGCTGCCATCACCATCGCCATCTTGGATTGAAAAGCCTTTCCTCAACTCTATTAAACACACCTCTTGCCATTAAGACTAGAAAGCTTGTCTTCATCTTCTTTGACCTGAGACTTTTCCTCCTGAATGATTTGGCTTAACCAATTGCAAATTTTCAGTGAGATTCAAGCCAATTTGGCTTTTTTGTTTTCTTTTTAATAGAGTTAAGTTAATTAAGTATGTCAGCAAATCTTTCAGACTGACCAATATTAGGCTTCTGTTTTGTCATCTCCAAAGCCTTGACTTCCTGCTGGAAAATCTACAGTTATCTTAACAGGAAACTAAGGAATTAAAATTAGCTTTACCACTTTTCCTAAGAAGAGTGACCAAAAATCAAGCCTGTTGATTTCTCTGAAATATTCTTAGTAATATATACTGAAATAGGGAGAGGCTGTATCTGATAAGAATATAATACTTGGAGATATTGTATTCCTTGAAATTGGACAGATTAGCTTAGGAACGGTAACCTATATGTACATGATCAGTTTAGGTCCGCCTGGTTGAAAACTCATTCAGTTTCACAAAATCGTACATTTTGTAGGAAGTTTTTTTTTTATCTTTACTTAAGTTTATAACCATGTTCCACAATAAAGCTTCACAAGAGGCTTCACAACAGTTCAAAAATAGAAAATTTAAATAAACCTAAATCCCGTCCATAACATTCAGAAGAAATAAATGGCAAAAAACATCTGAGGTTTTGGGGTTTTTTTTATTTATTTTTTTTAATCAACTGGCAGGTAATTGAGTGGGAAACTGTTTTTTGTATTTTTTTTTTACCTTCAGTAGTTTGGGCAGAAAACAATATACATTTATATTTGTTTATAGGAAAGCATGTTTACTATAAAATAAAACATCTAAAGTTTAAAATTTAGAAATGCCTGTAATGAAATTGCCTATAAAACTCCCCCACACTGTCCTGACGTAGTAGAGCATTATATTGCCATTTATATTGCAAGTTTTTCATGCATTTCTGATGGTCAAAGATTTTTCCTTCCATAGAGGTTAAATAATTTTTGTATCACTGACTGCAGAAGCTTTTTATAATCTCTGTTAAAACATAAGGTGTCAATGTCATTTTTTCTTTTAGCTCTCCAAGAGTTGGATCAAAGGTTCCAGCAGTTCAGAGACGGGGACCTGATGAAGGTGGTCCACTGCATGGAGCACGCCATCGCTGCCGTCTATCCTCGCTCCCGCTACTCCCCAGGATGGGACGCCAAATTCCTCTGGCTGCCCATGTCCTACATGCCAACATGGATAGCAGATCGATTTTTCCTACAATATAGTCCCAAACCTAAAATCTCTGTGCTGTAGTTTCTGACATAATGTGATTTGAGAAGCACCCTTTAAAATACCACATTTTGTGTTTTATTTTTCAGAAGAATAAATGTTATTCAACTACAAGCGTGTCATCTTTACACGTCTGTCAGTGGTGTGCATGTAGAATTTTATCAACATCCTTTACATCTCAAATCCTGTGATATCGGTCGTCTCCTACTTGGAACAATACATTGTTTGTAAGAACTTTGCATTTAGAATAATACTGCATTTGTCATAAAGAGCAAACGCAAACAACAGTGCTGCTGTGTAACTTCTGCTCTTAGAGTCGATTTGAGGGTAAAGGGAACGCAGTTATCAAAACTAGGAGTCATGTTATCCTGTTTTGTCTCTTACACAAGCCTATGCTGGTGAACCATTTACCACTTCTATATCAATTATGGACCTTGACTCTAGATAGTGCAAAACTTCATCTGCAGTTTCGAGTTTTGCACTAATTTCATTACTTTGTTCAGTTGAAGGTGAGAAGCGGCTACTTCTGAAGAGCTGTAACCATGGTATGTTTACATGATTATGATGTTCTATGGTGCTTGAGTTGGAATTTATCCACTGTGATGATCATTACAACTTATTTAGAGGTTAAATGTAGGATTTTTTTAACTTATAACATTTTAGTACGAAAACAAAACTGCTCCCCTCTGGTGGAAAATGAATGTAATTGCATGAAGCTTTGACTGTTTATTGTATTATAACAGAGTCTGCCCAATATAGAAAAGGCTATTTTTATGTAATTACAGATTTTTTTTTTTTTTTTTATACACCTGGACCATGTTGACTGTTTTATATATGATAAAGCATAGAGGTATAAGTATTATGATTGGTAGATTGTGTGATCTGTTGATTTGGGTAACTCTGAATAATTGTATTTTACAGCTTGACTTATCAGGCCAAGAAGTAAAAAAAAAAAAGTTTCTGTGTCAGAAAGCAGTTTCCTCTGTTTCTTTTTTCTTTGTCCTAATGTAATCATAAAAAAGTTGTTTTTCCTTATACAAAAATAAAAATTAATCCTGCTTTTTGACAAATTATAACTGCGTTTTAATTCTGTCAAAATAAAACCTTTTTTAAAAAATACCAATTTTATTTCCACAAGGAGTTTACTAATAAATAAATCATGACACTACCCAAAGCAGGTGACAGGTCTTTTTCTTTTTTCTTGTTTTCTGTAATCAGATAAATGTGTCTTAACTATAAAACTATCTTTAATTTTATTTATTTTTTTGGAGGGGGAAAATTTATCAGTTTAATAGATACACAAAAAATGAAAGCGGCTCAACATGTCTTATTAGTATCATAACTATATTGAGCCTCTAGATGGTGTTCACTGCAAAAAATAGAAATCTCAATAAGTTATTTTTTCTTAAAATAAGTGTGTTTTTCCTTGATTTGAGGAGGTAAGTAAGACACATTGCCAATGGAACAAGACAATTTCCTTTTAAAATAAGAAAAAACTATTTTATCCTCTTATTTCAAGTAAATATTATCCAACTATCTTATTTTAAGAGTAAAAATACTCATTCCATTGGCAAATCATCTTATTTATCTACTCAAATTAAGGCTAAATATACTTAATTTAAGCCATTTTTTACTTATTTCTGGATTGTTTTTGCAGTGTTGTCAATAAGCTATTGAGTGAGTCTTGGATTTTTTAAATAGTTATAGATCCAATTAAGGGCCGGATTTATCAAGATCCAATTTTGCGTGCAGTAATTTGCGCTCGTAAACTGGAATTTTGCGCGAGGGGCTGAACCATGGTTTGCGGGTGATTTAACAAGAGCGATTGCGTAACTGGTGGCAGGTGCAAAACTGTTGGAGACGCCCTATTTAAATGATGGTTTTGCGCGTTTGGTGGTTTGCGGCATGGCGAGTTTGGACAGCAGAAAGCGCAAAAGGAAATTCGACCCCATGGAAATGGAGGTGTTGGTGGATGAAGCCAACAAACATTTAAGTGAGCTACAGCAAAGAAGTGTGACTGTCACACAGAGGAACGCTATATGTGAACAAATCTGTAATAAAGTAAACGCTGTTGGTGAAACCTTGCGAACAGTGGATGAAGTAAAAAGAAGATACCAGGATATTAGAAGGCGAACCAAAGAAAAACTGGCATATAAAAAAACATCTGCAAACAAAACAGGAGGGGGCACAGTAGATGAGATGCCTCTGACCAGCATTGAGGAACAAGTACAGCTGACGCTTTGTGAGGAGCAAATCACTGGAATTGCAGCTCCAAAATGGCAATGCTGGATATACGATATGTTTTGATGATCGTTTCCTCGTTCATTCCAAAAATATTCACACGGAGTGAAAATATGCGTTCTCTGCGTCTCCTTGCTTCATTTCAATGTCTCCTTCTTGCGGCAATAACCGCTGCCATGTGTGCGCAATTACGCATACAGACCATTTGCACCTTCTTTTGAAACGTGTTAAATATAGAGTCAGATACCGTTAGCAAAATTGCTTTCAGGTTTGATAAATCACTTTGCGAGTGCCAAATTAATATATTTACATGTTCTCCTCCCACAAGACGCACTTTTGCGTGTAAACGCCCCATATTGCATATTCATTGCAGAAAAAGTACTAAATGGATAAGAGGCGCTAATTAGCGCGTTTTAAAGACCAAATCCTTTTAGCACGCTGTTGATAGATCAGTTTGTACATTTTTTAGCGTGCGCAGTGAAATAGCTCACGTTTTTATACACGCAAACCTTTGATAGATCCGGCCCTAAGAACTTAATTGCCAATAAACGGTGTTAAACTGCAAATACAAGTTGTTATAAAAATGAAGAATGCAGTTTATCAAGTCTTACCATTTTTGTAAGGTAAATATGAATATTAACTTATGAATATATAATTAAGAATGTTTCTTCCTCTCAGGTTTCACTCGGTGAACTATTGAATGGTTTTGTGGAGGTAAGTTTATTTTTTCTTGTCACCTTCATCATTTAGAGGAGGGAAGGGAGTCATTTATGAAAATAAAAAAAGTAAACAATGCAACTCCCAACAGAGGAGAAAACTTCAGATTTCAGCTTTCAAAAATATGCAATTCACTATTACGCCTGGTTCCCAGACTATTCCAAACCAATTCATATCCTAAAGCAAATGACTTAATATCCTTTAGTGAGCCAGGTCTGCAACAGTACAATAACACTCTCATCTGCAAGCAAATTTAAATTTGCAGAGCAGCACTTTCTGAAACATCTTAAATGCTTTGATCTTCCTAACTTGCTCTGAATTTAGAAAGCAGTTCAAATGAAGGGCATAGCTTTTTAAACCACAAAAAGTGAAGTGTACTGTAGTTTTGTTTTCTAACCTTTTTTTTGGAGTTTGTCCTCATTGACTGAGAATCTTGACCTTTAAATACAGAATGTTTTGAAACTAGAAAGGAGGTTAATTCAGAGCTATCACACGTTTTCAACTGGATGATAGATTTGAACTTTGCCAGTTCAAATCTATCATGGACAACACCTTTCACCCTGTGCATCACAGAGGAGCTGAACAACTCTTTCAGTCGTTCAGCCCTGCTGCCTTCAGACTCTGCAATAGTAATGTGAAAAAACCTTGTGCAAAAGGCCTGTATTTATTTAGTTACCAAGGGTCACCTTGCACTGTTTACACTTTGTCACAATACTTTGTTTGCACCAGAATAGAATATAACAAGTAAAACCAACATACTGTATTTGCACAGCAACTATTTTACCTCAATATATAAGATCAATTTATTGTATATAGGACGCCTTAAATATCTCACTATGTATATATATATATATATATATATATATATATATATATATATATATATATATATATATATATATATATATATATATATATATATATATATATATATGTGTATATTAGTTATGTATGACTTTATACACTTACTTCTTTGATGCACCTGTTGTTCATTAGAGCTGATGTAACAAGTGAATTTTTCTGTTGTGAGATCAGTAAAGTTTTATTCCATCTCTTACATTCAAATCTCTATGCAGTGAATTTTCAGCATATCCACAAATGCTCTTAGCTTGAAGCACAAAGGTCAATGTACACTAAACAACCAATCTTTCAGCTTTTAATTAACTTTCTATTAATATTATGATTGTTGTTAGCACTCAAACAAACCCATCTAACTTTATTGGATAACAGTTTTGTTTTAATGCTAGATACTGTCCTGAACCAGTATATCCAAATGTCCTACTCTACTCCTAGAGTTTGTCTACAAGAGATGTAACCTATAATGTTCCGAATAAACAGGAATAGTCTTTCTTTAGGTATTACCCTTTTTGTTTTCTTTCTATTTTTTTACTTCAGGTTCTCCTATCAAATTTGGCCTTAACCTGTGTGTTTCTTCTGGGCTGCTTCCTTGCTCTCCGTTGGTACATCAGAGATTCCTACAGGGTCGGTGGTTTTACTCAGAAACATGTGTTTATCACGGGGTGTGACAGTGGATTTGGGAACCTTCTGGCCAGACAGCTGGACCGGAAAGGCTTCAAGGTTATAGCCGGATGTCTCACAGAGAAAGGCGCCTCAGATCTAGCAGCAGTGACATCCCCCAGACTGAAGACTCTCCTGCTTGATGTTACTGACAGCGCAAGCATCCGGAGTGCTGCGGAGTTTGTGAGCAGAGAGGTGGGGCAGCAAGGTGAGCTGGGTTCCAGTCAAAGGGAACTTTATAGACATAAGAAATTATTTGAGCAAGCAATGGATGAAAGTAGGCACAAACCTCTCCCTTTTCACATGATTAAACCCCCAGCATAAATAGAATGACCATTAAAGGTTATCAGGTTTAAAAGAAAAAGTTAGATTGAGGTGTTTTTGGTAGCTAAAGAACCGAGCGCTCCATATGCCATTCCAAACAGGCGGTGGGGTTGCACTTCTTCAGCAGGGACATAAAAGCTGCTTTAAGGTAATATTTAGTTGCACAGAGCTGAATACATGGTAATCCTGGAAGATAAGCCGCTCGTTATGCTGAAAAAGATTTTAGACCAGAGTGTAGGTTTGAATTCTGTTATGTGCTTCGGGCACATTATGATTTTTGTCCATTTCTTTTCTTTGTTTCTTATAAACTTTAGTTGAAGGATCTTTTGTTAATATATTTTGGGATTCTTTTAGCAAGTTAATTATGTTAATTTGTGGTGCTGTCGTCCGCCTATAAATAGGCTGGCCTTCAGTACGTTAGCGCGTTCCTTTCCAACCTCGTTTGGACGCCACTTCCCACCTGCTTCATTTGCTCCATCGTGCGCGGTGCGCACTGGTCTTGTCGCTGCGGCCTGCAGCGGACGTTCCAGCCTGCCATGTGGTATTTTTGTTACCTTTTTCTTACTTTTTTCTTGAGGTTTTTGGCCTGGCGGGACCGGTAGTCCTGTTTTCGATTTTTCTTTCGCTTAGGTTATTTTTTGCCTTTAGTCCGGTACCAGTAGGGGCTTCGACGGCCCTGTATAGGGTTGGCCCCCTGCTGTACCGTTTTATTCTGTTTGATCGGCCTGCCAGGTCCAACTTTCTGTTGTTACTTTGGGTTTCTTTTTTTCTTTTTTTTTGGGGCACGGGATTTGAGGGCCGTTAACTATTTTTCTCTTCGCAGAACATCTGAAGAAGCCGAACCAAGAACAACTAAAACGGAGAGAATTTATTAATAAAACATCTTTTTTTGAACCCTCATTTTTGTCTCGTGTCCTCAAATATGTTGTGTCCTTGGTGGGCGTAACAATTCCAACAATGTTAGATCACAAAACTACTACTGTATTGAGTAGTTTAGGTCAAAGTATATTTATGTGACCTAGATCTAATTTCATTGGCAATTTTGTTGACAAACACGATGGTCACAGATGATCTTTATCTTTTTTCACTAAAATTTTACGAATCCACTTTTGGCTGCTTTTGCATCTAGTTCCTTGCAGCAAAGTAAAGAGTTTGTACATGTAGATTGTGATCAATCATCTTTATATTTGCATGTTGCAAGTGTAGATTTAATTATCCATGTTGTGCTCTTAGTTACTCTTAAACAGAAAGTCCGGAAGAATAGAATAAATGGCAAACTCTCAAATAAAACCAAAGAAAATGTCATACAGCTTTGTTTTAGAGGGGCTTAATTTCATTTGGTGATTGTGTTTCTTCCCCGCAGGTCTCTGGGGTCTGGTGAATAATGCTGGCAGGTCTGTGCCTGTGGGACCTACAGAATGGATGGTGCTGGAAGACTTTACGAAAGTCTTGGATGTGAATCTGATAGGGGTTATTGACGTGACCCTTCAGTTTTTACCGCTGCTGAAGAAAGCCAAGGGTAGAGTGGTGAACGTGGCCAGTATTCTAGGGAGGCTCTCTCTGATCGGTGGAGGATACTGTCTGTCCAAATGGGGAGTGGAAGCATTCTCAGACAGCCTCAGGTAGAGAAATTTAAACTCTTTGTGAATTTAAGTTTCTAAAAGTCTACGGAAGTTCTTCAATAATTTAAGTTATACTGACAGATCTTTCCCCAGTTTTACATAGTGTATTTTTTTCCCCCCACCAACATAACTCCAATAAAAAAAAGTTAGAGTTCGTGCTTTAAATCTAGTGAATAGAGAGAATAAAGTAAAACTAACATGGACATGAAAAAATATAAGGCTGGTTTTTTTGTGTTTAACCCAAGAGGTTATATGGTTCTAAGCTTTGTCTCATGCATCTAAAAAACAACACACAAAAAAACCATCAGAATGACATTAAGTTAAAGTATGTTCAGTTAAGTAAGCCCCTCAACTTTTTGTACACGTTTTACTGTATTTTTTCCATCAAACAACAATGACGATGTGACACTTTATTAAAATGGAAAGTATGCGTCATACAGCCACTATAATAGAGTACAATTTCTCCCCGCTCCACATAACTCATCACATTGCCTTTAATGTTGAAAACGCTAAACAAAAAAAGCAAGTTTGACAAGCTGACCCCTGTGTGCTTCAAATTGTTTCAAAATGTTTCATCTTTGGTGATGTTTCATGAAACAATCTATAAAGATATTCAAAAATATATGAGGGGTATACTACATTTTGTAATATAGTATAGATAAAAAAATTACACTAGCTGTAGCACTGCATGTCTGTTCCTGGCTGATAAGCTCATAACAATCCTCCTCGCTATTATTTTTCCACCAATAAAGTCAAATATTTAGGTATAAGAGCTAAGCACTGGAACATGTTGTGGTTAAATAAAACAAAAAGCCAATATAACAAGTTTAAACACTTTGATTCAATAATCCCGAAGGTTGTGGACATGTCAACCTTCCTGGTTAAAGCCATAAATAGTGATTGGTAGCATGGTGGCAGCATTATGATATACTGTAGTAAGCTTGTCTTTAGCAAAGGAGCTATAGAATAGGTATAAAGCTTCACTATTAAGGGGTACGATGGCCTAAAATATGCAGCTAGAGCAAATGTGGAACTATAGTCATGGAAATTAACCCATTTAGTAAGAAAATGAGTTAAATTAGGCATAAATGATACAACTGATGATCAGAAAATGCCAGAGTAATTATCTTATACATTGTGACCTTGTAATTGCATATTCATACATTGTGACCTTGTAATTTGATATTTATTGATATTCATCATCTCAGGAGGGACATGCATCACTTTGGTATTAAGGTGAGCATCATTGAACCTGGTTTCTTCAAGACTGCTGTAACCAGTCTGGATCTAATCGAGGCCGACCTGAAGAGGCTTTGGACGCGCCTTCCTGAAAACGTTAAGGATTCATATGGAGCGACATACCTAAATGACTGTGGGTAGAAGAGCAGCATATTTAAACCCATTTTAAATTCACTGAGTGCTGATTTACATTCTTTTATTTTTTACAGATATGAGAATGCAGGGCTTCTCCATGAACATCCTCCGTTCTCCTGATATCTCTAAGGTCACCTGGTGCATGGAGCACGCTCTCACTGCCCAGTATCCACGCACACGTTATGGAGCTGGCTGGGATGCCAAGTTCTTCTGGATTCCTCTATCCTACCTTCCTTCATTTGTGTCGGATTTTGTTGTAAATGTTCTCCTGCCGTCACCTAAAGATGCAATAACCGGCTAAATAAAAGATAACTAAATATATTGTTAAAAAAAATGACTGGAAGATGAAAATAACCTGGAATAAATGAATACTTTGTAAATATTTAAAGTTAATGCAGTTCATTGACTATGTTCCTATTGGATTCATTATCCTCCTCATTGCACTTAAGTTTCATGCATTTTCATTCTTACTTTAACTGTATATGGACGTAAGTTTAAAGGACACATTTACTCATCACCACTGCATGACTAAGGATAAGCTTAGTTACATGGCTAACTTGAATGACATGATTCCCTCTCTTTTTTTTAATATTGAGCTTTGATCATAAGAACTGACTCTTCATGTCATTTCAAATCCTTTTATTCACCAAAAGTATAAAATAAGTAACCAAAAAGTGAAATAAAAACTGCTTTGGTTACATTTATTTTAAAGGAATTGTTCGGGCTTCTGTTATTTTTGTCAGATCTAAAATATATTTTACAATTTTCTAAAGGGATTTTATTTTACACTACTTTACCATGCATCATGATTATGTCAGTATCTGAGAAGGTGTTTTAAACCCAGTTGCTTTGATACAAAAAATAACTTAGGACTTATTCTGAAAATAAAGAGCTAAAAATGTGCAGAATTGGAGTGACTTAGGTTTTTGTTTCCTTGCTAATATATGGAGATGAAATAAAATAGTTAAAACAAATTCCCTTATCAAGTCTCAGTAGAAATCTAATTCATATTAGACTATTATTCACAGATAAAGTTTTTCCATATTTTGATGAGAAATAAATCCAAATTCGACATCCATATCCTCATATGTTCAAGTTTTCTCCAATATTCTTAGCTACATTACTGTGCAACATATGAACATTGAGCAATTGTAACTAGGGAGACTTTTTTTTTAAGTTTTCCTCATGACAAATGTGTTATTTTTTCAGTTTGATTGTGTATGATCAGTATTATATTATCATAAGTTAATGCTATTGAGATATTTTAAGATGAGGTCGAATATAAAAATCTTTACTTAGTGAAAAAGAAGCAAAGCGAAAAACAAGAAGCGTTTCTTTTAATCCTCAGAGGGCATTCTGTGAATTTCGCTGCCCTGAAGTGACTTTTTAACCAACGCCATCTGCAGGCCTTACTTGGAGCCACACCGCATAGTCTGCATTAGTCTCCTTAGCTTATTAAGATAAAATAGACCAATCTTTCTTTAAAATAACAAAAAGTTCTAAAAAAAAAAATAAACTTGGGCAAGTTCTTTATTGCTTTTATTTCCAAAAGCCTTCTTATCTCAAAAAATCAACAACGAAAAACTTTTTTTCCCCTTTTTTTTAACCATTTCATAACACTTAGCTGCATACTTTATTCATTCAGATCCATACATAGACCTATATGCAGGGGTCAGGATGATAAACAAATTCATATTGAAAGTTTTTTTTTTTACTTTTTTCCCTCACACACTCTTAAAGCTTTCAGTTCCACATTCCCTCATAATGCAGAGATTATGAAGTGATACTATCACTCAATTTAGAGTTTACAAAAATACTCAGTTTCCATAGAACGAAGATCAGCTAGTAGAGGAATCACTTCATTTAAGACAGCATTAGTGATGATGGCAGCTCCCCCTGGTGGTTCAATAATTTCACTCTTTACTGTAGAGCCACAATGCTGGGCCAGTTGGGTGCAGAGCTGCAACAGTTAAAGGAGGGTCTGTTTCTTATCGGCACACAAGGGGACATCCTACTCTTTAAAAAGTCCCTGATGTTGCTATAAACCAATTTGGCACGGACACGGCGGGTCATCTTCAAAGCTGAAAACAAAATATGAGGAGGCTGGGCACAATTCTTCCCTCCAAGTAAGAATCTAAATCAATATGTTCCCACTGCAAAAATGACTAATGTAAAACCAGAGAGTCTGGAAATTGGTTCAGACGGTTAGAAAAGCTGTATAAAATGACATCTGTAAAAAGAGGTTTCAGAGTTGGGGGAATAAAAACACAGTCTCTGATGCAGTCTAAACCAGCGGACATGTCACCATTCGAAGCCTTTAAAAAATAAAGAGCACAAAGTGTGCGTGTACACATGTAAAAATGTCCCGGTTATGTAGAGAAGGAAAGCAAAGTGTTGCTGAGGAATGGGGCTTGGCGGGACGGGCTGATGCCATCCATATAGAGTGAAGGGAAATCCAACTAGAATCCAATCAGTGAGGGTGAGGATGTTTGTTGTTCCGGCTTGATGGGACTGTGGCGCTGCGGATGACCTCCATCCACCTGCAGGTGGAGACAGACTTCAGAGAGATTATTCAAAACACTAAAGATGGATAAAAAAAAGGTAGTTTACCTTTCAAAAGTGTATTCACTTTCTGATCTGAAATAGTATACATGGGACTTGAAATGCAGCTTGAAGACGTAGTCTTTGTGAATGTTTTCATTATCAGAGGGAACTGTGACAGAGTACCCCAGTAGAGGAAGGCTGGCCAGAGGATAATCATCCTGGAGGAAGATTTAAAAAATATATATTATATGAGGCTTTTCATATTTTACTCTATCAGTGAATAAAACATTTTTAGCGGAATGTTTTCTAGGTAACCCTGGTTTTCCAGGTTTGCAGTAAAGACAGTTATATACTCCTTAAACCAAAAATCTTTACTCTTCCAGACTCTGCTTTGGAAATCTACATACATAGTATGGATAGATAGATAGATTAACATTTCTAAATACTTATTATTTCTATTCTCTATTTAAATTTTCCAAACTACTTACACCAAGGAGTGAATTAATCGCATTGCAAAATTCCTGAAGTTTTCCAGCATGCATAGGAACCCTGATTAAACTCAGATCATCTGTAGGCCAAATGCCCTCCCCATACACTTTCTGGGGCACTAATAAGGACTTATGACAAGCTGCATGGGAACATGTGTCCACAGCTATCGTGGCACTTCTATTTGATATTCCACACTGAGGTGTGATGCTGGAGGAGGGAAAAACAGCAGGGAAAAGAGAGGAATCGGTTCTTCTTGCAAACAATGTGTCACCTGGTGAGATTTATAGAAGAACAGGCTGAAGTTGGTGAAGACCACCCAGAGCTTCTGCCAGCCGTTGCTGTTCTTGAACTTTCTTAACAAGTTTCCTGAAAGCTGATTCTGTAAAAGCAGAGCGATACGAAAAATTAAGAATACAAATGCATGATTCACAAAAACACAAGTCATTAAGCTTATTTTGTACATTTTAATAAGTACAGGTGCTGGTCATAAAATTAGAATATCATGAAAAAGTAGATTGATTTGAGTAATTCCATTTAAAAAGTGAAACTTGTATATTATATTCATACATTACATACAAACTCATATATTTCAGATGTTTATTTTGTTTAATTTTGATGATTACAAATGACAACAAATGAAAATCTCAAATTCATCATATCAGAAAATTAGAATATTGTGAAAAGGTTCAAAATTGATGGCCCCTGGTGCCACACTCTAATCAGCTAATTAACTCAAACCACCTGCAAAAGCCTTTAAATGGTCTTTCAGTCTAGTTCTATAGGCTACACAATCATGGGGAAGACTGCTGACTTGACAGTTGTCCAAAAGACGACCATCGACACCTTGCACAAGGAGGGCAAGACACAAAAGGTCATCGCTAAAGAGGCTGGCTGTTCACAGAGCTCAGTGTCCAAGCACATTAATAGAGAGGCGAAGGGAAGGAAAAGATGTGGTCGAAAAAAGTGTACAAGCAAGAGAGATAACCGCACCCTGGAGAGGATTGTGAAACAAAACCCATTCAAAAATGTGGGGGAGATTCACAAAGAGTGGACTGCAGCTGGAGTGAGTGCTTCAAGAACCACCACACACAGACGTATGAAAGACATGGGTTTCTGCTGTCGCATTCCTTGTGTCAAGCCACTCTTGAACCACAGACAGCGTCAGAAGCATCTTGCCTGGGCTAAAGAGAAACAGGACTGGACTGCTGGTGAGTGGTCCAAAGTCAAGTTCTCTGATGAAAGTAAATTTTGCATTTCCTTTGGAAATCAAGGTCCCAGAGTCTGGAGGAAAAGAAGAGAGGCACTTCATCCACGTTGCTTGAAGTCCAGTGTAAAGTTTCCACAGTCAGTGATGGTTTGGGGTGCCATGTCATCTGCTGGTGTTGGTCCATTGTGTTTTCTGAGGTCCAGGGTCAACGCAGCCACATACCAGGAAGTTTTAGAGCACTTCATGCTTCCTGCAGCTGACCAACTTTTTGGAGATGCAGATTTCATTTTCCAACAGGACTTGGCACCTGCACACAGTGCCAAAGCTACCAGTACCTGGTTGAAGGACCATGGTATCCCTGTTCTTAATTGGCCAGCAAACTCTCCTGACCTTAACCCCATAGAAAATCTATGGGGTATTGTGAAGAAGAAGATGCAATACACCAGACCCAACAATTCAGAAGAGCTAAAAGCCACTATTAGAGCAACCTGGGCTATCATAACACCTGAGCAGTGCCACAGACTGATCGACTCCATGCCACGCCGCATTGCTGCAGTAATACAGGCCAAAGGAGGCCCAACTAAATACTGAGTGCTGTACATGCTCATACTTTTCATGTTCATACTTTTCAGTTGGCCAACATTTCTATAAATCCTTTGTTTTTATTGGTCTTCAGTAATATTCTAATTTTCTGATATGATGAATTTGAGATTTTCATTTGTTGTCATTTGTAATCATCAAAATTAAACAAAATAAACATCTGAAATATATGAGTTTGTATGTAATGTATGAATATAATATACAAGTTTCACTTTTTAAATGGAATTACTGAAATCAATCTACTTTTTCATGATATTCTAATTTTATGACCAGCACCTGTAAATAAACCTGCAGTTGCTTAACAAGAGTTCTCTGTTTTCTCAACCGATCTTGAATAAACATAATGAATAAAAACAAAAAATGTTTACATGTATTTTTAACTGTTATAGCACATAAAATATATCTATTTTTTTTAAATACCTAAAGTTTCATTAGGTATAATCAATTGTGTACCTGTATCTGACTGTTAATCTTAATTTAAAGTGTATTTTACACAACTTTAAAATCTTCAGGTGAGGAAGCAACTCTAACCAGTATGTCCAAATTAC